GGAGAAGGAAGAATGGGCTTTGGACCCTGGTTCCATCACTTGACAGTGAGTCTCTGGATGTGTTATTTAACCTCTCTAACCCTCAGTTTCTTAATCTAAAAAAGAACGGCAAAGGGAAGCATATAAGAATAACAACACATGGCAAGATAGCATTAGTATTAGAAATAGGGAATTAAAGTATACAGCAGATAGCAGGTACTCATTACTCCTTACCACTAGCTCATCAGCTTCACATTGACCTCTAGCCTTTCATCTCCTTCATTTTCTCCCAATCAGATCACCCTTCTGGCTTATGAGTCAATCAGCCAATGATCCAGCCTGGACTCCATAGTTCATTAGTTATAATCCTCACTATCATTAATTCCCTCATCAACTGTCCTTCAGGTATCTCTACCAGATATCTGCAAAGCAGTGGACAATAGCTTATGCTCTGGACCTGACCACCAAGTCTGAACTGTTCATCTTGCAAACAAGGAACAAAACAGAAAGATAGGGTTCTCGTGAATATTAAATAGATTCTTCAGATATACTCAGACTGATCATTGCTGCAGAAAAAAAATCAAACAGCATGCCAACAGACACCACTACAAATCCAAGGTCTACAACTTCAAATAGTTCCTCAATACTTCTTCAATTTCCTACTCATGTGTCTGCCTCTTTCAGTCCCCCATTCCCTTGTGTAAACTGTTATAAACTCATACTCTTTTTAAGAACTTGTACCACTTTCCCTTCATTTTTAGCAGGTGATCAAAGTGATAGAAACCACTTCATCAATTCTTTCTCTTTCTTGTCCCTGCCAGTTTCAAACTTAATTTATACTGCCATACTGAAAAGCAAGACTACCTCCCACACAAGGCCAATTTCTCTACCTATGCCCTAGATCCCATCCCCTCCTACTGCCTCTAGACCACGGCTTCCACTATCAATCATCATCCCCCAACATCTATCCATTCATCCATCTTTCTCTCTTTCTCTCTCTCTCTCTCTCTCTCTCTCTCTCACAAACTTTTTAAATTTTCCCTCTCCATTGGCTCTTTCCAGGTTCATATAACCATGTCCAAGACTCTCTTATTATTTCTTTTAAAAGAAGCAAGCAAGCTTCTCTAAATCACTAGCATCCCCCTCCTCCTTACACTCTTCCCTTCAGTCTTTTGTTGACAACACTGTAGACCTTGCAATTAGCCACACTTCTAGCTGTCACTCACTCTTCAACTTCCTCAAAGCATTACAATGTAGCTAACTGCTTTAGTTCAAGTTCCATATGAAGACATCCTAATCAGTAAGTCTCAGAGACTTTATTCAGTCTTTATCTGACTTGTCTTTTTCATGGCAGGATACACTGTTCTTGAAACATTTGCATGCCTCAGCTTCCTGACCAATCTCTCTTCCTCTCCTGTTTTCATTTTTGACCTGTCTGGCAGAGATGACTGGCTTCTCTTAGCTGCTGGCCTCATCTACCTAACAGCTCACAACACAAATGTGGGAATCATCCTAAATCTTCAATTTTCTCAATTCTATAATCTAATTATTTATCCTATCCTACTGATAATTCTCCCTAAATCTCTCACACATCCACCCCTTCTCTTCTCTATATTCCTCATCATCTCTCACCAAGAATGGCTTTCTCTCTGGTCTTGCTTCCAATTTTGCCCCCAACAAAATGATAGGTCTAAAACACAAATCTGATTCTATCACAGCATGGCTTACTTTTTTTTTTTTTTTAAACTAAATCCTCACAACATTCAGGATGAAGTTAAAATTCGAAAACTTTGCTCATGATCAGTGATTTGGCTTATTACTTTATTTCCTCCTGCTCTAAGGCTATGCTATCCACATGTGGCTACTGAATATGTGAATGTAGCAGGTTCAAACTGAAATGTGCTACATATATAAAACACACCAGGTTCTGAAGACCTACTTATGCAAAGGGAATGGCAAATATCCCTGTATTGTTGTTCAGTACTAATTGCATGTTGAAATTAAAATGTTTTGGGTACATTCGGTTAAACTGTATTATAAATTTCACTTTTTTCCTTTTAAAATAGTTACTCAAAATTTGAAATTACATTATGTGGCTTACATATGTGTTTTGTATTTTAATAAGACAGCATTGGTATAAAATGTACTTTCCATCTTCCTGAACCTAGTTAATACATATTCTTCAAGATTAACTCAGGTAACCCACTAAGATTCCACAATATTCCCACCACCAAGACTCTAAGCCTAAGTCAGTTACTTCTCCTGTGTACTTCCTTTCATAGGCACCTGTGCCCACACCTGTCACATATCACACCATATTGTAATTATTGGTCATCAACCATCTTCTCCTCCTAAACAGTTAAGTTCCTGGCAAAAAAAATATATACTCTGGTCCAGCCACCATGCGCACAGTCAAAAGGCACTCAAACATTTATTTGTCAGACAAATGCAAACTACCTATTCCTAGCCTGAAAGTTACTAGAAAGTTACTAGTTCTCCAAGGAAACAAGCTTGGAGCAAAAAAGGAGCCTAAACTTAAGGAGAAGCTCTAGGAAAGAAAGGACTGTGATGTAGAGTAAGGAAGTAAAAGTCCCAGTAAAGAGATCGGCAAATGAGAAAATACAGCTCATCACACACCTCTTACAGAGACAATAGGACTTTGCAACAGTGAAGTGGAGCCTTGAACTCATAGTTGGTATGCCAGGGGCCACCGTTTGGTCCCTAAATTGCTTATACAACCTATCCAACAGAAGAGTATGATTTGGCAGGTTTCAACACAAACAGCTAGAGCCCAGCACCTGTTCCACTTAAACAGTGCATCATTACAGTTAAAAACAACAACAAATCTCTCATGAAGCAAATGCTAATCCCATGATGCTGCACCATGGAGCAGTTCAGGAGACTTATTATACGAATATGCCAAAGCATGAATTTATGGCTGATGCTTACTTGGCACATATGTTTGGCACTACTAGATGTTGAAAAGCATGTATGCAAATAAGCAAATAAAAGTTTTTAAGCTCTCAGACTTAAATATTTACATTACCATAAATGTACAAAGATAAATGTTTATACAAGTACACACATAATGCAATTCAGAAAGATTTTTTAATGTGATTGTCAGAAAACAGTTATGAAGTGGCATTATTTCTTTATGGGCCTCAGGATAGTCTCTTAAAAATAAATTCTGACAGAATGTTAATGGGGTACAAACACTGTGGAAATTTCAATTCACTATCACTAGGCAAAATGAACAGTCACAGTACCATAACATTTCAAAGCAATCCTATCTTTTCCTTTCACTAAAACACTTCTCTTGCAACTCTGGAAACCAGCCAAACATAAATGTCAGCCCCTAAATAGGGAGTGGTGGAAAGGAGGACCACACATCAAAAAGCTTTAAAGAAAATAATTTGACTTTTTTTTTCCCACAGTATAGTCATGCTAGTCTCCAAAGTAAAGACATGATAAAATATTTTCTCCTCTTCCCCTCTGACATCTATGGGAAGGGGATGTTTGTTTTTTCACATAGTTTGTGAGTTGGTCATAGCCAAAACTCACTAGCAGTGGTATGAATTCTGCTTCTATTGTTAACTGGCAATCTCTGTGCTGAGACTATTAACTCCCATCTTTGAAGCCAAGAAAATGTACCTTACCTGCCATTATAGTTTACTAAACGAGCCACCAAAGGTAAGAGTGCCAGGCAATTCAGAAAGTAATTAGGGTAGTCAGCAAATTGGGCGATCTAGAATACTTTGAGAAGCCATCATGAAGTGAGATTCCAAGATTGCTCATGGAAAGTTTTACCCAAGTGGATAATTTCTTTCTTTTTTTTTTTTTCACTTTCACACTAAAGAAAGCAATATGGGTTCTCTGATTACACACATTACTACATCACTTCACTTGGGTGGGTGGGGGGGACGACACTGGCTGAACAACAACAACAAAAAAACCCAGCAGGTAGGCCCCAAGCAGAATCCTCAAAGCAATTCCAATTCAGGAGAAAAGCTGTTCATGAATGTCATCCAATGACCTAAAAATAGTCTTTTATGTAAGTCTCCAAGTATTTAATTCAACGTATTCTCTTACCACATTCAACAGAGGCAAAAGAAAAACCTATTAGGTTTTCTATAGTAAGGCCAATAAAGATGAAATCATAGTTTTCCCTAACTCATCGCTATCCCTTGAACGTCAACCTTCCAATAACTCCATTCCACAGCTCTGATTCCTAAACTTGGATCTTAAAAAAAAAAACGGATTGCAGAAGCAATATGGGGGTGTAGGGAGCTCCTCTTTCCTGTTGCTCTCAGAGGGCTTTAATGCAGTCAAACGGAATCAAGCTCTCCATCAGATGGGAGACTGGGGCGGAGGGTGGGGGGGGTCAGACGGCAAGTTCTTTCTCAAGGAGGAAAGAAAAGTTCCAAGAACCGATGAGTCAAATGGCAAAGAAGAAACACGGAGCAACCCAAACAACCCAGCACATCAGGCGCTCTCCCGGCCACCGCGTGAAGTGAGCCGGCAGGGGGCCGCCGGCTCGGTACAGATGCTGCAGGCCGGGCTGCGCAGACCCTCGGGGTCCCGGGGAGCGGGATGACGGCGTCCCGAGCCGGAGCGCGAGGAGCCCGTCCCGTCCCGCCCGCCCGCAGCCCAGCCTCCGCGCGTCCAGCCTCCCAGCCTCGCCTGGGGGCGCCCCCCGCCGCCGGGTCCCAACTTTCCCTCCTCTGGGGGGCGCCGCGCCACCGGGGCCGCCGCCGCCAAGGGAGGGGGCTGGGCCGGCGGGCGGGGGGGGGGGGCGCGAGGGGGCGCGCGGCGCCGGCGGGGCGCGGGGGTGGCCGGGGCGCCAGAGCCCGCGCGGGGCAGGACGCACCGGCCGCCCGAGCCCCGCGGCGCCGCCTGCCTACATTCTCCACCCCTCCACCCGCGTCCCCCGGGTCAGCGACCTCACCCATGGCGACCCTGGCCCACAAGCCCAGACGCGAGGAGATAGAGCGGAGGGGACGCGGGCAACCCTGCCCCGTTACCTGAGGGGCGCACACGCCGCCGCAGTGACCACCATCGCCTCCCGTCCCGTCCCTTTCCTGGTGACCGCAGCCGCCGCCGCCGCCGCCGAGCAACTGACACTGACTAACAACAACTAACTAACTACTCACGGCGGCCGAGTCCACCGCGCGCTCCCGGCCGCTCGCCGCCCGCCCAGCCCACCAGCCTGCCCGCTCCTCCCAGCCCGGCGCACCGCCCCTCCGCGCGCGCCCCCGCCGGCGGCGCTCCTAGAAGAGCGAGCACGCGCGCGCGCACGGATACGGGGTCCTCGCGCACGGATACGGGGTCCTCTTCCACATCGCCGCTCAGCCCCGTGGGAGGAGCCGCCTCGAGGCCCCGCCTCTCTGCATGCCAACCTTCGGAGGACAAAACCTAGATGGCGGCTGATTGGCTGTGGAGAGCAGGGCTAAAAGCAAGGGGGCGGGGAAAGCGAGACCTTGGGCCCGCGTAGAGGGGAAATTTGGGTGCAATTAGATGCTAGAAGAAATGGGCAACGAAGCTTTGGCTCTTTGGACTGCCGGATCCCTTTATGTCAACTGGTCGCCGAGTACAGAAAACATGTGTTTTCAAGGACTCTAGTATATTAGTAATTAAAGTCCCAGAATCCGCAGGTCTTAGGCATTAAAAAAAAACTACATCTCCCAGGAGCCTCCGCGAACATAAGTCTCACCTTGCGTAATCACGTTGTCCTTCGCCGCACTGGGACAAAATAATCCCTTCATTTTTCTGCAGGTATCGGGAATAATATTTCACTTTTCTCCTCCCCGGAACAATTCGAACTGTTCCAGCGATAAGAGAAGGTGACTTTCGGGAAGTGGTTACACAATTAGGTAAAGAGGCAAAAAAGGGCAAAAAATTAAGTGCTGCGGAGGAATTCCGGCCAGGCTGAGATACCTCGGCGTGTGCAGAGTGAAGGCGATTGAGTGGGGCTGAGGAAATTGTCCTCGGTGCAGGGGACTCTCAATAGGTCCTCGGCCCCTGCCTGCCCCTGTCGTCAACAGGTCAGTAAGCAGGGCGAGCTTGGGGGTGGCCACGGTCGAGATTTCCTTCGCTCTGGGAAGCTCTTCCCTGGTTGCCGCTGTTGTAATTGGTTTGTCTGCATTTGAGGCCCACGGAATGGGGGCGCCTGACTTCCGGCTGGGGGAGGGGAGGAGCGCCGTCTTGGGGGGGAGCATAACTCACTTCCTGTGGGGGTAGGGTGATGGTTTGGGGGTGTCCTGCCCCACTTCCTGTGCTCGTGAGGGCCTGAAAAGCTGGTGCGTGGTGTCACTCGCAGGAACGGTGTTCTGCACTTCGGGGCGGTGCGTTTTATGTCACCAGTTTAGGTTATGTCACCAAGTTGTGCTCATCAGCCCCCAGTCAGGATTTTGTATAGGGTGGAAAATTTTCCTTCCCAACAAAATTTTCTTAATGCTGTCTTCAAACAGTTCGAAGCCACTTGTTCAGACTCCCTGCAAGACTGCATGTTTTGTTTTGTGACTCATGAGTGCCCCCCGCCCCCCACCCAGGTTCACCTTGACTGGGTGACAGGCAGCGGGAGCCCGAGCCACTATTTTAGGGAGGTGGTTTCGTAGTTAGAGCGCTGACTGTGTCCCATCAGTTACAGGGCATTTGCATTTGCACGGGAAAAGTGTCACACTGCGCTAGGCAGCTTGGATGTCACTCTCACGCAGTTGGCATCTCACGGGCCTAACACCTGTTGGGTTTGCCGGTGCCTGAGAGCGACTTCCTCAGCCCGCAGTTCTCCCAATGGCTCCCTGGTAACCGTTTGGAAAAGATGGGCGGTCTTCAGTACTTTTTCCCTCTTTGTGATTTAGTTAAATTTGGCACTGATTAAAAAAATGATACCCATTCTTTGTGGTCTTTCAGCATGGCGCCATGGCCCTGAGCTCAGCTCACATTTTTTTTTTTTTTGTTTTTTCATTTTTCTTTTATTATTCATATGTGCATACAAGGCTTGGTTTATTTTCCCCCCTGCCCCCACCCCTCCCTTACCCCACTCCACCCCCTCCCCTCCCCCCCTCAATACCCAGCAGAAACTATTTTGCCCTTATCTCTAATTTTGTTGTAGAGAGAGTATAAGCAATAATAGGAAGGAACAAGGGGTTTTGCTGGTTGAGATAAGGATAGCTATACAGGGCATTGACTCACATTGATTTCCTGTGCGTGGGTGTTACCTTCTAGGTTAATTCTTTTTAATCTAACCTTTTCTCTAGTTCCTGGTCCCCTTTTCCTATTGGCCTCAGTTGCTTTAAGGTATCTGCTTTAGTTTCTCTGCATTAAGGGCAACAAATGCTAGCTAGTTTTTTAGGTGTCTTACCTATCCTCACCCCTCCCTTGTGTGCTCTCGCTTTTATCATGTGCTCATAGTCCAATCCCCTTGTTGTGTTTGCCCTTGATCTAATGTCCACATATGAGGGAGAACATACGATTTTTGGTCTTTTGGCCAGGCTAACCTCACTCAGAATGATGTTCTCCAATTCCATCCATTTACCAGCGAATGATAACATTTCGTTCTTCTTCATGGCTGCATAAAATTCCATTGTGTATAGATACCACATTTTCTTAATCCATTCGTCAGTGGTGGGGCATCTTGGCTGTTTCCATAACTTGGCTATTGTGAATAGTGCCGCAATAAACATGGATGTGCAGGTGCCTCTGGAGTAACAGTCTTTTGGGTATATCCCCAAGAGTGGTATTGCTGGATCAAATGGTAGATCGATGTCCAGCTTTTTAAGTAGCCTCCAAATTTTTTTCCAGAGTGGTTGTACTAGTCTACATTCCCACCAACAGTGTAAGAGGGTTCCTTTTTCCCCGCATCCTCGCCAACACCTGTTGTTGGTGGTGTTGCTGATGATGGCTATTCTAACAGGGGTGAGGTGGAATCTTAGTGTGGTTTTAATTTGCATTTCCTTTATTGCTAGAGATGGTGAGCATTTTTTCATGTGTTTTCTGGCCATTTGAATTTCTTCTTTTGAGAAAGTTCTGTTTAGTTCACTGCCCATTTCTTTATTGGTTCATTAGTTTTGGGAGAATTTAGTTTTTTAAGTTCCCTGTATATTCTGGTTATCAGTCCTTTGTCTGATGTATAGTTGGCAAATATTTTCTCCCACTCTGTGGGTGTTCTCTTCAGTTTAGAGACCATTTCTTTTGATGAACAGAAGCTTTTTAGTTTTATGAGGTCCCATTTATCTATGCTATCTCTTAGTTGCTGTGCTGCTGGGGTTTCATTGAGAAAGTTCTTACCTATACCTACTAACTCCAGAGTATTTCCTACTCTTTCTTGTATCAACTTAAGAGTTTGGGGTCTGATATTAAGATCCTTGATCCATTTTGAGTTAATCTTGGTATAGGGTGATATACATGGATCTAGTTTCAGTTTTTTGCAGACTGCTAACCAGTTTTCCCAGCAGTTTTTGTTGAAGAGGCTGCTATTTCTCCATCGTATATTTTTAGCTCCTTTGTCAAAGATAAGTTGCTTATAGTTGTGTGTCAGCTCACATTTTAAGTAAGAGCAAAATGGCTCACAAAGGACAAAAGATGGATTACAAAGAACTTTCTATTTTCCTTGTATTCTCTATTTCTTTGAAGAAACTATATCCAAGGTGGTAATAAAAACTCAACAATTTTGATATCTCGGCTTCGCTTGTCAAGTAACAGTCTTTGAGTGAATGTTTACTTGAGACATCGGTCTTTTTGGAGCTTTATGAAATCTCAACCATTTTCCTAATTTTAGGATGTCTGTCATTAGACATACTGTAATATCTTTCAAGAATTTTCAAAATAGTACCTGTGTATTTCTTCCTTTGGGTTGTTAATCTAGCCTCGAGTTTGCAATTATTTTAATTACAGTTCTTTTAAAAAGCTATTTGGTTTAGAGTTTATTAGAAAATGTTTTAAATGTGAAAATAAAAATACTTTAAACTTCTATACTTTTTTTTAAAATCAGTCTTGGGCTGGGGGTGGAGCACTTACCTAGCATGCATGAGACCCTGGGTTCAGTCCCCAGCACTGGAAAAATGAAGAGCAGGGGGTGGGGGGGGCGGGCAGAGAGAAAAATACAGAAAGGAAAGAATCAGCTGGGGATGTACCTCACTGGTAGAGCACTTACCTTGCATGTGAGGTATTGGTGTTCATCCAAGCATCACAAAAAAAATATGTATATTAGCCTGAGACCCCAAATCACTTATCTTTTGAAAGACCACACAATTGCTGCAGTAGTTAAAAAGACATGACAAAAATAATGTCTGTATTGTTATTCATAGAAAGTTAGGGACTGCTCAACATAGGTATTAACTAATCAACCAGAGATAGAGTGCTCGCTATCTTCTGTATTAATGTAGTACAGAAGAAGATACATGATCACCCTGAGAAATTACAGTGTTAGGAATCATCGAAGTATGGAAAGACTGTCGAGCAAGAAGAGAAAGAGAAGGTGCTGTTAAAGTATTGACTGAGATGCAGTAGTATTGCCTTTTGGAATCAGTCTTTGGAAAGCAAGGAGTTTATTAAATTGGTCCTCAAAATATTCCACGGAAGACACGCAATATAATAGAAATAAGAAAAATTGCTGTAGCCAAAGGACTTGAGCATCTTGAAGAACTATTGAGAAGAAAGCAATATATAAAGTACATATCTGGAGGAAGATGTTTTCTGATAAGTGGCAGTTATTCATTGGTTCCATCAAAGAAGAAATATTAGAAAAGCTTGTGAAAAATAAGAGAAGGAAAGTCTGTGGAACCTGTTGTTTTTCCTCTTTTTTAAAGTGTTTCTGTGGAGAGGCTTGCTGTCTTCCAAAGGTGTTTTGTTTTAATGCCCTTTGTTGCATTTTCGTTACATGTTCTAATAGAAAAATAATGTCAAAATTAGAAAAAAACTTTTGTAAATATACTCTGCTACTTCCTTGAGTTAATGAATTTGAGATTTTCATTCCATTACTTACCATCTACTGATTTTTAAGTGTATTTGGATTAGATAGCCATTTACTTTTCCAAAGGCAGTCACTGGCTGTGCTGCTCACATAGTTTGAAGTATTAAAACAGTAGGTCATAATTGTGAATTCTATCTCACTGACAATTTGATTATCCACAGAGATGTTACATCGAATGCAAAGTGTCTTCCTCATTCTTTTTGTCCCTTACCTTGTAAAATCATACTAATGTTTTACAACTTAATTTATTTTCTTTGCCCATTGCTTTCTGTTTTGTTTTTTGGTTGGTTTTGCTATGGAGTTGAGCGTTAAAGGGAGTGTCTTAGCCAGCGTAAGTGGGTTTTAAATTTATTACTCTTTTATTTCAGAGCTTTCAAAGGTACTCAAATGGAAAGTCCTCTTTATATGACTTCTCATCTCAACAAACATTGAGTGCCTGCTGTAATGCCAGTCACTGTTACAGGGACTTTCAACATACAGTAAATCCAATACCCATTTTTTCTCTTGGAGTTTGCTTCCTAGTTTACAAATCAAACTGGAATTTTACCGTTGGTATTCCTAAATAGAATCTATTTTTTATTGTCACTGTGCAACTGGATCAAGATACAGGCTAAATTTGATATCCCTTGGTCTTGATCTCTAAGCCATTCTAAAACCAGTTGTGAATGTTTTATACATTGAGGTATGAATCGTGATCATACCTTTGTTGCTTCCTTTTTACTGTACACACTAGTGAGAGTGAACAGTTGGGGAAATAGAGGCCAGACTGGCCTAACTTCAAAACTGGACTTTACTTTTACCACCTTGGTGACCTTGAGCAATTTACTTAGCCTCTCTGGGCCTTAGTTTCCCTGAATCTAAATGAAATTGCTTGGTGGAACAAGGGTATTATATGTAAATCACCTGGCACAGTCCTGTGCTAGGAGCTTAATAAATGCTATTATTTAACAGAGTCTTGCTTCTGCTGTGCTGGCTATTGAATTTGCCCATGTGCCTGTTTTTAAGCTTTGCATGCACTGCCAGGCGTATTGAGATGTCGCCCTCTCCCCCATCAACGTACTTACAGAGTTG